AATACCAATAGAATCCAATAAAAAATAAGCAATTGGTTTGAATTGGTTTGAATTGGGTTGAAATGTGTTTTGGCGCTATGAATCACCAATTCATTCCAGTTGAATTCCTATTGGTAATTTCCAATGAAGTCAGCGGCTTGAATTGGAAAATACCAATCCATGCCTACGCTTGTCTCTATTGGCTAAATCCAATAGAAATGCACATGGAATGAATTGGTAATTCATAGCACCAAACCCATTCCAACCAATTTAAACCAATTAATTTTTTAAAATTTGGATTAGAAAATACCTACCAGTTTATTTTTCATTCAAAAATAATTTTAGATCCCAGAAGGATAACCGGGTAAAAACCAGAATTCATTTTTTACAGAAGAGAAAAAATGTATTGTTACTAAGTAATTTTATTTCTTTATTATTATTATTTTGTGATATATGTATGTATTAATACATATAACTTACTATCGCCTAAATCCCTAAATCTTACACAATGTAATGTTACACATACTTATAAACATTTTTTTAATATATAAGTAGACTACTAACACTAGGCACTTAACACTGAAATGTAATGTTACACATATAAACATTTTTTTAATATATAAGTAGACTACTAACACTAGGCACTTAACACTGAAATCGACTAATAAAATAAACCGCTAATAAATGGCGTCCAAAGACTTGTAGTTTTTTCTTTATGATGGCGTCTCAACCTCGTTGATTTTGCGCAGCTACACGAGAGCCCTCTTGCGATATTTGTATTGTATTGGGAATAACCAATTAGCAGATTTTTCGAATCTTACACTGGGAATGCCCAATTGAATTCAATTGGAAATTACCTATAGGTAGCTTTATCCAATCGAAACCAATAAAAACCATTAGAATCCTAACTGGTATTTTCCATCATGGAAAATACCAGTAAAAACCAATTTCTGTTTTATATCGCGCCCAATTAAATCCAGTAAGTCCAATTCAGACCCATTGATACCAACCAATACTTCAATTGGTTTCTACAGGAATTAATCGGTCATTTACAACATGTACATGTACATTTTTTTATTTTTAAATTCCTCATGAAATTCTTAATGAAATTGCTGTACCATTCCCTATACCTAAACTTTAATAGTTTTCGAATTAATATTTTTTTTCGTAAAATTTTGAAAGTTGCACCTTCATTAAAAATAGCTTATAACTTTTTTGATATTCGGTTTGCTGGTATGCTGTAAGGATTTTTGGAATCTTAAAACATTGTTTTAAAGATTCCATGTCTGAAATTTTCATATTTATGATCAAAAACTAGAGAAAAATCGTAGTAAATTTGGTTAACTTCAAACATTAATAACTTGTTTATTTTCAAAGGAACTGTAATTACATGCTTAAGCATGTTTTTACATAATCAAATAGGAAAATGAATTACATTTCGATTAGTATAACCATTCCCTATACCTAAATAGTAAGGTTACAAGCAAATTTCTGTAAAAATCCAATATTTTGACATATTTATCTCAGATACCAATGAAATGTCACAACGGAATCTCCCAGGCATTTATTATCTATGCTCCCAGGCTCCGCATTTTAAAATGTTTGCAAGTCAATGGTCGCCATTTTGAACATTTATTAAAATTGTATTTTGGTTGTTATTTTTTCCATCACGTTTTTTATAATTTATAATAATTAACCCTTTCGCTCACGAATTACACTGTGCAACACAAAAAATGAACTGGGATCAAATCTGAAAAAATCGAATCTAGGCAACCCCCAAAACAAATCCTTTAAGGGGTTTTACCAGTTTAGCTCGAATAATGGAGATATACATATATATATGTACAGGGTCTTTCTTTTAACTTAAGACAGCTCAATATCTCGAGAAATACGCATTTCACGGAAAAATGTCTTTAATAAAAGGTTAATGTGACTAAAGGGGAGATTATTTGGTGCTACCGCTAGCCACCCCCTACCCCTCCTTAAGGGTGAAACGGGGGGTAACTTTGGAAAGTCAAATGGAATGACCCGATTTTTTTTACAGAGTTTGGTAGTACATAAAAAAATAAATAACTTTTATTTAAAACTTTTTTCAATTTATCAACAGATGGCGCTGTAATTCAAAATTTAAGAAAAATGAGTTTCCTTGTAAAATGTATTTGAAACGTTTGAAAAACAAAAATTAACATTAACAACAATAGTCGGCTATGAAAACAATTTATAACAAATGTTCGAAATGTCGTCATTCCATTTCAACACATTTTTGAATGCGGGTAATTTCTTAAATTTTGAATTACAGCGCCATCTGTTGATAAATTGAAAAAAACTTTCAAATAAAAGTTATTTATTTTTGTATGTACTACCAAACTCTGTGAAAAAAATCGGGTCATTCCATTTGACTTTCCAAAGTTACCCCCCGTTTCACCCTTAAGGAGGGGTAGGGGGTGGCTAGCGGTAGCACCAAATAATGTTGGTCACATTAACCTTTTATTTAAGACATTTTTCCGTGAAATGCGTATTTCTCGAGATATTGAGCTGTCTCAAGTTAAAAGAAACACCCTGTATATTTCCATTATTCGAGCTAAACTAGCAAAACCCCTTTAAAGATTAGTTTTGGGGGTTGCATAGATTCGATTTTTCCACATTTCATCCCAGTTCAAATTGTAAGGTCAAAATTTGTCGCACAGTGTTATTTATAAAACATATGTTTTATATAAAACAATATAATTATTTGCTATTTTTTGGTACCTCAAAATTTTTTTTTCTCTGCTAGTTTCTTTTTTACAAGGTGTGCTAAAATTAGGACATGAGAATGTGAGAAAATGGATAAAAATTCAGTCAAGTAGATAAAAAAAAAATTGTAGAAAACGATGTACTAAATTTAGTACGCCATAAGCGAAAGGGTTAAATTCTTAAAACTTTGTTTAATTGTTGTTTTCCATTATTTTTAAAATATCTTCCTTAAGAAATGTATCAACTGTCAATCAATGACATAACTAATTTGTTGTGACATTTCATCGGTATCTAAGATAAAAATGTCAAAATATTGGATTTTTACAGAAATTTGCTTGTATTTCCGAAACCTTACTATTTAAGCTTATTTTCTGTGTATTTAAGTATAGGGAATGGTTATAACAATCAAAATGTAATTCATTTTCCTATTTGATTATGTAAAAACATGCATACCGTTCCATTGAAAATAAACAAGTTATTAATGTTTGAAGTTAACTAAATTTAACACGATTTTAACAATGTTTTAAGATTCAAAAAATCCTTACGGCATACCAGCAAACCGAATATCAAAACAATTATAAGCTATTTTTAATGAAGGTGCAACTGTCAAAATTTTACGAAAAAAATTATTAACTCGAAAACTATTAAGTTTAGGTATAGGAAATGGTACAGCAATTTCATTAAGAATTTCATGAGGAATTTAAAAATAAAAAAATTTACAGGGTGTTCCATTGGAAATAACAAAGTTGATGTCGCTTCCGGTTAAACCGGAAGAGGAATTTTATTTAAAATAATTTTAAAAGGTAGATTAAATTGTACAATAATTGCTATAAAATCTTCAAATTGATATCCTCAGCCGTTCTCCGTAAACCTCTAAGGTACCACCGCTGGTGAGACACCCTGTATATATATATATATATATATATATATATATATATATATATATATATATATATATATATATATATATACAGGGTGTTTCATAATATACGCGCAGGACTTCAGGATGTGATAGCTCATCCAAAAAGATGAAAAAAGTCGCTATTAACTTACCCTCTAAAATGCACAATTTTCGAGATAAAGGGTGTGTAAATTTTAGAAAAAAAATTGTTTTTTTCGAATATCTCCGGAACCATTTATCGTACAAAAAACAGCTTTTGTAAGCATTTTCTACTCATAATAAGCTATGTTTTGTGCCAGAAAATTTTTATTTTTACTTATAATTGGTGGAGATTTTGAAGGGGACGCGGGTGTTTTTCTCCTCAACTTCTACGCCCCTAAAAAAAGTACGGTTTCAGAGGCCCATTCCATCCGCCAATGTTTTCTACACAAAAAAGGTACTCTTTGTCATAAGCTCTAAAATTGACCGTTTTCAAGAAAAATCAACTTTTATGTTTAAAAACATGGTCAATTTAAAAAAAAAATTTTTTACTAATTAAACAAAATTTATTTTAACGTTACAACAAGTAACAAAACCAAACGATAATTGCAAAATTAAAAAAAAAATAAAAAAAAATTCAAAAGTTAAATTAAATGTTGGAAATGTCCAGCGTTATCTTCAATGCACGCAAAGACAACTTTTGAATTATATATTTTTTTTTTTTGCAATTATCGTTTGGTTTTGTTACTTGTTCTAATTAGACCTTAAGGTTACAGTATAGACAAAGAGCGGGAACCACAGAAGTTCTGACAGAACTTTATCTTTATCTCTGCACAGAACACCAAGTTCCTACTGGTAGTAACTCTTGACCAGGTGGCTAAAGTTTCTACCAGTAGGAACTTTAGACTCGGCGACTAAAATTCCTACTGGTAGGAACTGTAGACAGTCCCTTATTATAAACATCAGTGCAAAAATGAAGCTAAAATGTCATCATGTCATAAACCTAACCTTAAAATATTGTGGTGAGACAGTGCCTCATCATGATACATCATGATCTTTAAAGATCATGATGTATCATGTATCATTGGAAATGGGTCAATTCCTTGCGAAAATCTAAGACAATTTTTTTAGCATTTTTTCGCAAAATTGCAGGAGTTATTTAATTTTTAAATCCATTTTTTAAATCTACTACAAGGCGACATTAGTACTTTTTATGGCTATTTAGTACTTTTTGGTTTATTGAACTAGTACCTATAGTACCTTTATTTTCGCAGTGGGTATACGCGTTTTCAGTATACTTACACAACATTTCATGAAAAACCATTGATACAATTTTTATTGTTAATTTTATTTTGACCAAAATATTTTATTTTATTATAATTATGTTTATTTGAAATTTGGTGAAACAATTATTGTTCATTATACAAAAGAATGGTTTATTCGGTATTTATAAAGTTTACAGTTTTTTCTTTGCCATCATCTGCTTCAGATTCTTTCTTCGATTCTCCCTCCTCATCTTCCTCCATCTCTTCTTCTATTCCCTCTTCTTCTTCTTCTTCTTCTTCTTCTTCTTCTTCTTCGTCTTCTTCTTCTTCATCAACAATTTCAACTTCTGAATCTGAAAATTCTTCCTCTCCAGTACGATTTCTCATCAATAGCATTTTAATCTGTTTTTGTTGTTCTTTTGTTATATCAGTTTCTCTTACATCCAGCCAGTGAATGTATCTGTTTATCATCAAAGATTCGATAACTTTCTATAATATTAGGTATTTAGATATTTTTTATTTTATTTAAATTTAGGTATTTTTTTCTTTTGATATAGGATATAATATATTTTAAGCACTGATTACGAATACAAGTTTATTTAAATGTTTTATTTATTTAGAGAACTAGGTATAACGCGATTGGACCTTTGCTTATTCTACTGCGCCCTGTATTAAAAAAGAATAACTATTTTGATACACGTGTATCAGTACTGATCTATGGAGTTTAAGATTGTCAAGATTGTATTGGTTATGTTGACAAGTTTAAACAATAAATTACATAATTAACAAGCCACGTCTTGGACTTTATCAGGAATATTTCAAGACTGCATATGGTACTTCACAGAGAAGTGTTTTTTTATGTGGTACTTTAACCTATTGCTGGGTCGTGATTTTAATAACGTGATTTTGGAACGTTATTTTTAAATCACGTTCCTAAATATATCGTTTTATTTATTTTTAAATCACGTTCCTAAATATATCGGAACGATGTGACAGCGAATCGAACTGAATAGAAACAGAGAATCCGACCATCGAATGAGTGAACGGAGCGAGTGGGAAGGGAACGACGTGAAATATGGAACAGAACCAACGTCGCTAACGTCGGAACTGTTTAAAGGCGCAGTTACCTCGTTTCGTTTCTTGTTCGACTTTCACGGCGAGCCGACTTGAGCTGAACTTTATCGGTGCATATAACCAATATAACGAGGCGGGTGAAATCGTTCCGCTGGAACGGTGCATAAAAAAATAAGTTTGTTAGGTAGGGTAGATGGAATCCAATATACCTAATATTGTACAATTATTAAACTATAATACCAAAAGTTTCTAAGAAGGTTTTTTCTTACTAGAGATTCTTTATTAGAGATAGACAAAACATACTAGGAATCAACAGGTTTTTGTGTATTAAAGGGGTCCCTAGACGTTTAAAAATATTTTGCTCAATATTACTGCACAAAAAATTGATTATTGTCCCTATAGGGACAATATAAATAAATTAGGCAATATTGTCAACACACTGTTAAGTAAATTGCAAACATATTGTGCAATAATATGTAGGGACCTCCTTAAACCTTATAGTGTTACAATATTTAATTTTGGTATTAAATTTGTTATGGTGCACAGAAAAAAGGCTAGCATATCATGAATGAGTGAGCCATTAAACCAATGGGATCTTGTAATCCGTATTCCTGAATAACAGTTCCTATAATACCAATAGGTAAATAGCACTTGGTTTATAATCGTTTACTGTTTTTAAATTAACAACAAAAGTTATCGCTTCTAAATCTATTGATATTTATATTGATATTTATTTGTTAGAATGTTAGAATGTTATTGCATTAAATACTAATTTGATTTATTTAATAACGTTGTATGCACAGTATGTGGTCTGTGGTTGTATGTATACCATGTATACATTTAAAGCAATACATTCTTTGAAATTTAGGTAAAATATTTCCCTATTTTGGTTTAATAGTAATTAATTGAGCAAATAACAATTTCGATTGCTTCAATTTTAATGCATTCAATGACAGCGCTGTTCTTGGTACTATGTTAGATTTTTTCTGTGTGCGGTCAACAGAACTGAGAGGCGCGTCAGACAAAATGTAGCCCAGCAACGTCGTGTCGTGGATTCCACTCGCATGTATTGTGAAATCATTTACCCTACGTTCCGAAATCACGTGATTTTGGTACGTGATTTTTTAGGAACGGAACGGTTTGGTACGTTCCGGATTGGGAACCGTTTTTTCCATCACTACTTTAACCAAATAAATATAGGCACATGTCATATGTATACATATATAACTGGAAATTGTTTTATGTTTATAATAATAAGCAAAATTTTTCCCGTCATGCACGAATTTTTTGCTTTGGCCTGCTAAGCTAAAAATCCGTATCTACAATAGGTATTATGTAATTTTTAAGAATTGAAATGATCTTTTGTCCTTTATTACTTTATTTTAAAGATATGGCCTTTTTGCTTTGCATGCAGGGCAGCGTTGTCGGCAACAGACGACATATTTCAAAAAATATGATATTTGCTGTAGAGAGAACGCTGTGATTGCCGGATGAATTTCTAGAAAGTTTCCGACCAAAACTTACAAAATACCCAAATTTAACCCCCAAGAGAAAAAACATAGTTATGTTTATAAATTTTTTAGCGCATATGCGCATAAGCCCTTTTTTAAAAAATGAATTAAATTTTGAATCAATTAAGAAGAACGGCAACAGGGTAGGATAAAATAATTATGCATACTTAGTAAACATACAATTTTATTTGCTAAAAATTATTTAGTTAGTATACTAAAATATATTTTGATCGAAATTTGCAGTGGACCCGCTTTTACCCGCCTTAATATTTAGAGTGTAGTTGTTGTGAATTAATTATTAATAATCAAGTTTGTTAGTGGATATCAACATTATCGCTATAAATAAGGTAAGTAAGGCTTTTATTATTAGTAGATCCAAATGTAAGCAAGGGAAATCGGGTGAGTTAGGACCGCTTAAGCAATTTTTTTGATTATTTTAGCTATTTATGAAAATATAAATAAGCAATTAATTTGGTAATATCTATAATATGGACTAACTAATTTGGTACAAAACCGAAAAAAACTCTTAGTTAAGATAAAAAGTCACTTGTGTTACATCGGTCCTCCATGCCCTCCCAAGTAAAATTTTTAGTTTTATTATGGTCTTCAAGAACGCTTTAAAACAAAATTTTGTTTTAAAGCATTCTTGAAGACCATAATAAAACTAAAAATGTTACTTGGACTGGGTATCGTGGTAAGTAGGTTCAAGAACGCTTTAAAACAAAATTTTGTTTTAAAGCATTCTTGAAGACCATAATAAAACTAAAAATGTTACTTGGGCTGGGTATCGTGGTAAGTAGGTTCACCATTTGAAACACCTGCTCGCATTAATAATAATAGATATTTATAGTTCTTCACGAATTTATTAGCGAAAATTATATACTTCTCTGATAATTGGAAATCATTTTATTCAAAGAGTAATACGAAAAAATGCAAAACAAATTTACAAATTTTTACAGATATGTAGGTAGTATCCGTACACTCGAGAAAAAAGCGAATTTCCGACGCTGAATATAATCATAATATAATTTTCTTACATCAATTTAATTTAATTCAATGTTTAGTTTTATATTTTTTAAATTAAATTAATGTTAAGCTGATGATAGCTACTTTTCTCAAATGTATATATTTTTCAAAAAAAAAAAATTTCCCAAAAAATACATTTTTTTAAGGCTTGGTTTTTCCCAATTCTTTCGTTTTTTTGTCACTTAAAACCCTAGTATGGGTATAAATATTTCAGGACCCAGCTTTACCATAAAATATAAACTGATTAAAAAAATACCCCGGATATTTCTAAAGAATAACATCTGATGGTATGAAAAAAAACTAAAACTATCGGTATCGGTAGCCCCTAGCTGCAATGTATCAGGAATTAGAAAAAAAGGTTATAATTACATTAAATAATGGTTAATCTTAGACTGCCATGAGTATTTTTAAAATTTAAATTATTAACAAGTTCAAATATAAGTATACTTATTAATCTCAGTGGTCCTTATAACCTCAAATGTCGCTAGGCAGAAAATCATGCAATAACATTTTTCCATGCAATGGCATTGGTTAACTAATAGGTAAGAGATTTGTAGCACTTTCAATATGGACCACTACTATAAACCAAGTTTTCTTTGATTCTCCAATAGTTTCTTAGGAATGGACAATATTGCGATAAAAGTTTTTTTAACTTAACTTAAGTTACAGTCCGCGCGTTATAACTTGGCAAGATCGCCCTATGCTCAGTTGACGTAATTTCGTAATGGAACCGACCTTCAAGTTCAGCTTAACACGTGTTTGGCAAAGCAGTGGCGCGTATTCAATATTTACTTTTAAATTTGTTTGGGTATTTGTTCAATTTATTGTATAAAAAGTGTACCTAAATTTCATCGTATCGCAAAATTATTGATAAAAAAAATATATAAAATTAAAAAAGTGAAGGTAACAAAGAAGTATAATATTAAAAGGTATGTACCTTATAATTATATAAATATATTTATATAATTATAAGGTACCTACATTTTAATATAAGTAGGTACAATATATTTTACCTGTATAAAATACAATTATTATGTAAAGATAACAAACCAGTATAATTTTAAAAGGTACCTTAATTATATAATTAAATATAATAATATATATAATTAATATACCTAAATACGTATATAACCAAAATGAAACATTACCAAAATTAGTTTAAGAAGCAATATTGTCAAGTGAAGAAGTAATGGTGGAAACGAAAATTACACATAATAAATTGGAAGTCAAGCTCGAGAAATTATTTCTCATGTTATAAATTATTTTAAAAACAATAAAACTGAGGAAGAAGCTGAGTGCTGTGAAATCAAAAGTTAGTTGTGCTACAGGTGTATCAGGGCGAACAATAGAGATAATAGGTAAAGAATATAAAACCTAAATATATATATTTTCTTACTACCTCGACTCAAATTACGTTGTTTCGTCCCCGATTTCACGGCAGAAAGTTTACGTTTCTTGCATTGGTCAAGCTATACGCGCACACTCTAATAGCGGGAGTAAAAATTTTTTAGTCGTGTGCTTAACATTCAAATTTCGTACTGCCAACATGAGAAACACAAAAATATGACAGTTTTAAACCATAATTTTGCAATTATAACAACAAATAAACAATTTATGTTTTTACTTTTTATGTTGTTTTAAGTGTTTAATGGTGCTTTTATTTGTTATAAAGTAGTAATTTGTTAATTAAAATACAACCTTTTATTTTTACTGTATTGGCACCGCTGAATTACCATGACAACGCTACAGTTTGATTGATTTTGAATGTAAACGTCAGAATTAAATTAAACGTCAGATTTTAATTTTGACACAAGTTTTTTTATATACATTTAATTTTTTCCCGTATTTTCTGCGGGGGTAGCAAGAAAAATAGTATACACTACACGGGCAGAAAGTGTGAGAGTCCTGAACTGCGCGCCATGATGCCCTCGGCTTCGCCTCGGGCATCATGGCGCGCAGTGCAGGAATCTCACACTTTCTGCCCTTGTAGTGTAATATACTATTATTAATTACAAATTATTTTGTTTATTTCACTCTTCAAAATTTAATCTTAATCTTCGACGCCGCTGGTAGGCAGTAAACAAGTGCCAACGGCTACGCCTACATGCGTCGAGCTTCGCCAAGTTACAACGCGTGGACTGAACTTACCAATGGTAAGTTACCATGAAATTTTAATTTTCCTACAGCGCAACAACTGTTGACAGTTGGACGCAGTGGCGGACTAAACCCGTCGGGGGCCCGGGGCGGTAAAATAAAATAGGGCCCCTAGTCTGCTTATGAAATAATGTGATTGTTTTGTAAATATTAATGTTTTGTTATTTTAAATTTGTTAGTAGATCCTTTTAGCAAGTCCTTTGCAACACTCTTAATGTAACCAGGGATATGAAAATTGATTACAAGCTTTTTTCAGCGAACTTATAAGTACCTATACTTATATTTGAACTTGTTAATAATTTAAATTTTAAAAATACTCATGGCAGTCTAAGATTAACCATTATTTAATGTAATTATAACCTTTTTTTCTAATTCCTGATACATTGCAGCTAGGGGCTACCGATACCGATAGTTTTAGTTTTTTTTCATACCATCAGATGTTATTCTTTAGAAATATCCGGGGTATTTTTTTTAATCAGTTTATATTTTATGGTAAAGCTGGGTCCTGAAATATTTATACCTATACTAGGGTTTTAAGTGACAAAAAAACGAAAGAATTGGGAAAAACCAGGCCTTAAAAAAACGTATTTTTTGGGAAAAATTGAATTTTTTTTTTAAAAATATATACATTTGAGAAAAGTAGCTATCATCAGCTTAACATTAATTTAATTTAAAAAATATAAAACTAAACATTGAATTAAATTAAATTGATGTAAGAAAATTATATTATGATTATATTCAGCGTCGGAAATTCGCTTTTTTCTCGAGTGTACGGATACTACCTACATATCTGTAAAAATTTGTAAATTTGTTTTGCATTTTTTCGTATTACTCTTTGAATAAAATGAGAAAAATGAAAGTCAATTTTTCTGAAAATTTCACAATTTTTTTCCGGAAATTTTAAAACCCTAAGGGCCGGTTTTTCAATCGTTGGTTAAGTTTATCTTACGGTTAACTTTCTTAGATAATATTGTGTTAACAATTGTATCTAAGGAAATTAACCGTAAGATAAACTTAACCAACGATTGAAAAACCGGCCCTAAATTTTAGATATGGGTCAGAATTTCTCAAACGGGCCACCTGAATTAGGTCAAAATTAGTTTTTGTTTGTAGATACATTTTTTCGATAGTATTTTACATCACTAACACAAATCCTAAAGGATTTTGTAAAAAAAAAATTTTCAATTGACATATTCATGATATTAAAAGTCAAAGTTTTTAATAATTAAAAAATAAAAAAATTCATTATGGCTGAACTAATTATCCGATTCCAACGATATAACTAGCGTTGGAATCTTGTTTTGACATAGATTCTTTGTTATTTTTTTCAATTGTCCTATTTTCATTTAGGTCGATTTTTTTTTGTTTTTTTTATACCAAATTCGGAAATAATTGCCTTCTGCGCCAGCTATCGACTCGAGAAAAAAAACACATATACTCCAATCATTTCTCGAAATTATGCTGCTGAGAAAAAAAATGGCCCGCAGGTTGACAAAAAGTTATTCGTCCTTTTGCGGCCGCGCGCGGTGTCAGCTCACGCTCCGAACCGTGTACGCTGTACGCGCTTGTGACGCGACGTCTTACGGTGGTCTGGAACCTGCGGGCCATTTTTTTTCTCAGCAGCATAATTTCGAAAAATGATTGGAGTATATCTGTTTTTTTTTTCGAGTCGATAGCTGGCGCAGAAGCCAATTATTTCCGAATCGACTAAATCGACCTAAATGAAAATTGTACAATTGAAAAAAATAACAAAGAATCTATGTCAAAACAAGATTCCAACGCTAGTTAAATCGTTGGAATCGGATAATTAGTTTAGCCATAATGATTTTTTTTTTTTTTTTTAATTACTAAAAACTTTTACTTTTAATATCATGAATATGTCAATTGAAAATTTTTTTTTTACAAAATCCTTTAGGATTTGTGTTAGTGATGTAAAATACTATCGAAAAAATGTATCTACAATCAAAAACTAATTTTGACCTAATTCAGGTGGCCCGTTTGAGAAATTCTGACCCACATTTTTTTGTTGGATTGATAAAGACTACTTAAGATTTGTCCTTAGTCCGCCACTGGTTGGACGCCATTAACATAGTTCTGTGACTGACGTAAAATTGTTGCCAAATTTAAATTACCTGTGCGGTAGACCGTTGGTCCTCACTACCCCGGTGCTTATGTTCTGTGCCCCGGTGGTCCTCGCAGCCCCAGTATCCCCTATATTTGTTGCAAAATATATATACATAAATAAAAAGACGCATGCATGGGGCCCCTTATTTTTTAGATTTTAAATTTTCTTGCGTCGCAATACAAAACCAAAGAAATTACCTACTGCGCTACCATAGACTTATTGAATGTGACGCAAAAAATGGAAAAATAATAAAAAAAAAGAAATTTTTAGCATTTGGAAAAATTAAAAAATCTATTATCAAGATTTTATCAAAAGTGTGACTTACTACAGTTTGGTTCTGGGAGACAGAAATGTATTTTAGACAAATTGATATTAATATTATCAATTTTGTTCTGAGTTTGCTTCGTTTCGAATTACACATTATTAAAATTTGTATTGATTTATTTGTTACTGGTAGCATCAACAAAAGTGCTTGGCTAATGATATAATGCTATGTCCATGAATAAGTATTTTATGGTATTGTTAAGTGAATTCCGCATCGTTTAACATGTTAAACACATCCTTAAACAAAATTCCAGTCAAACAATCTTATACTCACATCTCCCCCATCCTCATCAAGCCAATTGTTACTGACATCAAGTTTTATCAGGCATTTATTCAATTTAATCATCTGTGCTAATCGAGAACCGGTATCTTGTTCAAAACCGCAAGCTGACAAGTTTAGTTCCGCAGGCCTGTTGCTTCGCACCATCGCTCTCATTATTGCCAAACAACCATCATGTTTAAGAGGATTTAGCCTCAAAACAAGCCTTCTTAATGGAGCCACTGTTTCCATCAATAGCGCAAACCCGATAGCTATTGCACCTAAAGTAGTTGTAAAGTTATATTTTAACGAGTGGGAACAGTTTTGTAATGACACAGTAGACGGCAAGAAAATACAAAGGCAAAAATGTTTTTTTACAATTATCCCCAAAAAGGGGCAGTTTTTAATGAGGGGTTGGGAAATTGTCTATATACTGAGTAGACAATTGTTAACTCATCAACATATATACGAGCCCTGTCTCAGTGAAGTTGGCCCAACCACTCAAAATATAAAATTTGTAATTTTATGCGATGAAAAGCCAACAATTTTTTATCATATGTAATTCTTCTTGGTCAATCTTCATGTTTTAAATTTTTTTTAAAAAATATGTGTATGTATATTATTTAGTTTTAAGTTGGATGTTTGGTTACAATACAAAAAAATCGACAAAAATGCATTAACTTGGATGGCCAGATTTTTTAATGCAAGTCGGCTGTGCTAAAAGTAAAGATAATATTTGACATTTAAATAATTGTAAGCAAGTCGGTAGTGACATTCCAGTATATATTTATGCTTTCGGTGTGGTTGACAAATAATAATGTCCCGAGGAAAATCTGTTTCTGAAGAAATAAGAAAAGTGATAATTCACTTAAATTTAAAAAGAAAATCCGCTGCACAAATCGCTGAAACTGTTAATTTGTCACGATATACAGTGCGAAATATTAATAAACTGCACAAAACTACTGGATCTGTGGCGCAGAAACCAAAAAATGTTTAGTCGTCCTCACTATTCTGATAAAAATTTAAGGGCTCGAAGAAGAATTATCGTTCAAAATCGTAGGGCTAATTACGGTGAATTAAAAGTTTTGTGGAATCAGGCAACGAGTAAATGTTTTTCAAGAGCAACCTGTCATAGAGCTGCTCAAAAACTTGGGTTTAAAACTTACAAGGTTTGCTTATAAAGTATACGATTTTTATTTATTTTTAATTTTACTATCTGTAGGCAAAGAAAAAACCTTTATTGACAAAAAAATACAAGAAAAATAGACTTCTCTGGGCAAAAGAGCACATGACTTGGTGTAAAAATCAATGGGTTCAATTAAACTGCGCACCAGTCAATGTGTCGCGACCAAAAATTTCGTCCTTTTTCAAAACGACATAACTTTTTTGTTTCTTGAACGATTTTATTTTGGTTTGTAATGTCTGCTAGCCCCATTCTCTGGAAATACATGCTATAGATATGAAGCTCACGGTTATTCAAGTAAATTTCCTACAGGGTGATATGTAAAACGGTGAAAAATTTCAAAAACTTCATCCAAGCCCCGTTTGTAAAAAAAATATTTTTTTCTCGTTTTTACTTTGAAATAATGAAGTATTATGTCTTACCTTGAAACGTTTTTCAAATTTTTCGAATTGGAATCTTAGCAACAAAAATTTGATTTTTTTTTTCAAAAAAATACATTTGATGCTTTTTTGTAGGCAATACACTGAGCCTTTTTAAGATAGAAAAGATAAGATGGTGAAAGATTGTTCCTTGAATAATTCTGAACAAGCAACAAGCAACAAACTTCCATTAATTTCAGAGGAACCTAAGCAAAGACCACTTTTTCAAAATGACATTTTTTAGAAAATTTGCGAAAACTAAACCTGAACCGATATTTACGTTCGTGACATGTTTGCTTTATAATTTTGACCTCCTGATGTGATTCAGTTGTCAAATTTAAGTTTTAGAAGAAACCAAAATCACCAAGAATCAAAATTCGAAAACAATTCCCGGCTGTTAAATGTCTCAATAACATGCCTTTGCCAATGAAAAAAATCATATTTTTGTTGCTAAGATTCCAATTCGAAAAATTTGAAAAACGTTTCAAGGTAAGACATAATACTTCATTATTTCAAAGTAAAAACGAGAAAAAAATATTTATTTTACAAACGGGGCTTGGATGAAGTTATTGAAATTTTTCACTGTTTTACATATCACCCTGTAGTAAATTTACTTGAAGAACCGTGAGCTTCATATCTATAGCATGAATTGCCAGTGAATGGGGCTAGCAGACATCACAAACCAAAATAAAATCGTTCAAGAAACAAAAAAGTTATGTCGTTTTAAAATAGGACGAAATTTTTGGTCGCGACACATTGACTGGTGCGCAGTTTATATGGAGTGACGAAGCTAGATTTGAAGTTATGGTGATTTGGTGATAATCGAAGCCGTGTCATTAGAACTAAAGCAGAAGTCTTTCACAATGACTGTCTTAAGAAAAAAGTAAAGTTTCCGGCCTCTGTGATGATTTGGGGATCTATGTCAGCTAAAGGGATCGGTAAATTACACTTTGTAGAGGGCATTATGAATGCTGATAAATATATTTACGTCCTAAAAAATAACTTAAAACGGCAAATTGAAGAAATGCGTTTAAATGATATTGAATGCATCTTCCAACAAGATGGTGCAGCGTGTCATACGGCTAAAAAAGTGAAAGCTTGAATGATAGAAAATAATATTTCACTTTTATAATGGACATCTAGTAGTCCAGATCTTTCGCCTAGAGAAACTTTGTGGCATATTATGAAAAAGAAGCTCAGAGAACAGCCCGCAAGAACCGTCTTAGAGTTGCGTGCTCGCCTGCAAGAAAATTGGAATAATTTTACGCCGGATGATTGTCAAAAATTGGTTGACACCATGCCGAGACGTATACAGGCAGTAATAAGCCATAAAGGAGATGTTTCGCAGTGGTAGTTTCCAATTAAAATGTATTTATTTAAAATATTTTTTTTTCTTAATTTTTGGTTTACGGACAATATAAGAGAATTTTAAATATTTTTTTATTAGGTACTTAAAAATATAATTTAACGGTAGAAAATTTAATAAACGTTATTTATTTAATTAAAACAATGTGTTAATTTTAATTAATTACCGTATAATATTCTAAATATCTTCAAAAAACTATTTTTGTTAGTTAGGCCAACTTCACTGAGACGGGGCTCGTATACTTTAAACCCCTACAACCAAGCCGTTTTACACGGGCGCAAAGAGGATAAATATAATTGTGTTCAACCCTAAGGAGTTTACCAGCTACCGTGGAACTTAAGTTATAATGCTGATGTCATAAACGCTACTACACAATTGTGTTTAAACGTCTCAGCGATAGTTAATGTTCACCGTGCTAACATTACAATTTAACGTTACAGCTTAAAGTTAATATAATGTTAATTTTTATTGTCACTGCAACAAAATTTAAACCATTGACGCGACACATTATAAAATGTGTTAGGTTACCTAACTTAGGTACGATTAATTAACTTGTTGATTTTTAAGAAAAGTACAAAATGTAAGAATCACTGTATTTCAAAAAAACTAAAAATATGTTTAATAAAAATAAAAGTTTCAAGTTTCAGTCCGGTTCCAGTGCTTGAGAAGGCGCGACGTGTGTGGGAAGGCTCTTAAAACGTGAAAGTTTGAAGATTGAAACCATGGTTTGTTGCAACAATAATTTTTAAAAAGTGCAAACTAATAAAGTGAAACAAACAATTTTCATAGAGTTCAAGCTGGAGTTGTGTAGCGGTCGTTGAGGAGTGAAGTGTTAAGTGATATGAATGAGTTAAGTGCCACCTGTCATTGGTCGCTTTTCACTGGACAGACAAAGGAGGTCAAACAAAAGGGGAGGTGGCCATCTGCAAAAAAAATTATAAGTTACCTTAAGAATATGCATGACCTAATACAAAATCTGCAATTTAAATACGGCAGATATCTTTAAAACATATGAAAGGCACACGGAGTAGGGCAATAAATCTGTCAACAAGTGCGTAATGCAATCCCAAACGAAACCGAAAATAAACACTAGACTCACAGAATAAACTAATACATTAATTATAATATCTAACCCTAACACAGTAAAAAAAAGCCTAATAATCAAATTCAACTGGATTTGTAATCATTAGATAACAGAATGGTTGCGCTTGTCAGTTGTTTAACTAATAAATAAATGCAATACTTAATTTTGGAATTTAGGAAAAAAAGACAAAACTCTACCACAAAACGTGCTTGGGACAAAATTTATTAAAAACAACTGACACACTTTACCAAGTGCAGGAATTATCTGACCAGGACACGGACAATGACAATAACGAACAAGACAAAGACCTCGACTAGGAAACTACACCCCTGCAGCGAAATAACAACTCCCCAACTCCAAATAGTAATCCCAAATGTTTGGAGTAATACTAATCGACTGGTCTAGGGGGATTCCGCGTCGTACCACGTAACCAACACCCTCCCGTCCCGCCTCCATACCCCACTGAGCGTATAGCATAGGCTCGGCGAACCCGGGAATGGCTATTAAAACTATTCGCCTCTCGCTCTCGAGCCCCAAATAGGGGACAGTACGGAACGCAATGGACATTCGCACCCAGCAAACACGGGTGAAGCCGTGCAGTTGCTGGGGAAGAACAAAAGTCGGCGTAAGTAAACATAGGCCTGTACGGGGTTCGAGAGTCAAGAGGAAATGGGGCTGGTTATACGTCTCTTATACTCATACTCATACTCATAAAAATAAAAGTTTCAAATTAAATTAAAGATAATTATAATAAAATATTATATATTCTTGCTATTTCAAATAGCCTATTTGGGAGGTTTTAAATTAAAATTTTTATTTTTAAAACTAAAATGTTTAGTATTTCTTGATGCAAGAGTAGGGTTTCTGTCCCGAGAATAATTGAGACAAGAACAGGAATTCCATCAATTTTAAAGATCTCTCGGGAAATCGGGAAATAATATCTTAAGAATCTAGACTTTCAGGAATTATTTCGAATCTGAAACCAGGGCAAGAGCTCAGCTGGTTACTCTATGATTTTTGTGGGTATAAAGCAATTTTTCAGTAGAGCCTTAAACGTATTCGCATTAATTCAGGAAATATATTTATGGTTAAATATATAAATACCTATACTTCCTGCGAATGCGTTTAAGGCTCTACTGAAAAATTGCTTTTTTAAAACTTATTCCCTTAAGCCTTTTACCCAAAGATTTAGGCTGTAGTTGCAGCTTTGGCAAGTGTTTATAATAATACAATTTACACTTCCGTTTATAAACGCACTTACTGAATTACTAAATCTGCAACTACAGCGTAAATCTGTTGGTAATATACAGTATACACTTTTTCCAGCACCTGTGATATGCTGGCAAAAGCTTATACCTGCTAACCATATATTATAATAGTATATTATACAAGAGATAATGCAGGCTATTATAATAATTATTCACGAAGATGGGGTTTTTCAGTCGCACACAGTGGAAAACATGATATCTTAAATCATATCAAGAGCGCAAAACATAAAAGCTTTGAGCGTCAACAGGCCTCATCATCGAAGATTACTGAATTTTTCAGTATAAAGCATTTTGGAAATTCCGAGAAAAAACTAGCTGCCACTGAAGTCACCTTCGCATATCACACAGTCAGACACAATCATTCCTTTCGTTCAACTAATTGCACATCAAAACCTATCAGAGAAGTGTTTGATCCAAAATACACTTCTGGACGAACGAAGTTCGTCAGAATCAAGATGCACTTCCATATTTATCGACTCTTCGAACCATAAAGAGATTAAAATAATCCCTATTTTGCTCAAATACTTTTAACAAGACACTGGAGTTGAAATAAAAAGATTGAAAATGCAAGATAAACCTGGAGAAACTTCTCAAATTTTATCTGACTACATTTCCGAAGTTTTAAGACATCATTCCCTTGAAAATAAATTAATTGCCTTGACTGCATACAATACCAATTGCAATTTTGGTGGTGCTAAACAAGAAGGAAAAAATAATGTTTTTCATAGACTGAAGCAGGAGTTGGGAAGGGAGTTTCTTGGAGTTGGCTGTAGTGCCCATGTTTTTATTAACTACCTTCAGTGTGCAGAAGACAATTTACCATTTGATCTATAAGTCATTGTAAAAATATATGAATATTTTTAAATTTATACAGTTCGTTTTTAATAAACTGAAAGAATTCTGTGACTTTGTGGAAGCGGAATATGAAAAGGTACTAGGCTACTGGAAAACACGTTGGCTCGCGATGATGCCCGCTGTGAAAAGAATTATAAAAATATTTGTGCCATTGAAGTCGTATTTTCAGTCTCAAGATAAGGTCCCGCGAATAATTAAAGATTTTTTTTAATGGAAACAGCAGAAGCCTGGCTGTACTTCATTCACGCCCAATCTTCCATGTTCCATCATGCAATATTAAAAGTTGAGGGCAACAACATCAGCTTAATGGAAGTTATGAATGTGATTTTAGAGTTGCAAACAAAACTTGAAGAAAGTTTACATTCCTTTGGCGGTGCGAAATATCCTGACAAAACTTGAGGAGCATGGTCATGAGTGCATGTCGCTACCCAATTTTATTCATGTGCAAAACTTCAAACATAAACTTTTCTTCACCTCAATTGAATTCTTTTTGATTCTCAGCTCACATGGACAACAAGAATGATGATAAAAACGAACTCTTTGATGAGGTTGTAAACTTGAAAGCATATATCACAGATTCAAAAATAAACGAGTGGACAGAAAACTCCATCCCAATTGACCAAAGATGGGTGGAAATTTATGGCCATTTCAACACAATTTTACAACTCGTCGTTTACCAGGAACCAATGCTTGAAATATTGAAAGAGTTTTCAGTATAATTAACAACACATGGACCTCTGAGAAGACACAGCTATATGTGAAAACCTTGAAAGCCATGCGCTCTATTAATAATGACTCATGTTTGGATTTTTATAAAAAACAATTTGTAACATAAAATTATGCCAAGCAATACATAGTTCCTCTAAGTATGAGCTACTGAATGAAAATACCTAAGTGATTTTTATTTTGTTGATTTTTTTATTTTTATGTTTTTTAGATTTTAATTTTTGTTTTTTTTGTGATATTTTCATTATACCTACATGTACTTTGTCTATCATAAAATATTATTCTTTTTTTTAATATTTGTATTATTTCCCAGAAATATTTTAGCCCCCCCATTCATTTCTGTATATTTTGTTCCGATTTTTTTTTAACGAATCTGGTCACCTTAGGTATACCCCATCACCTTCCAGAAGGTATTTGGTAAAATTGTGTGTACAACTTGTTATACCGTACAACTTGTACGGCTTAACGTAAATGTTTTGCATCTACTTATCAAGTCCGTAATATTATTAAAAAATAATATTATTATTATTGTTATTATCATAATTAGATAAATAGCTTCTTTCTTAAATATTTTATTTTAGGCACTAAATAAACTAATAAAAAGTGGAAAAGTAAATTTGCTTTTGCAAGCACTACTCGACTGGAAAACACTATAGTATGTTGGAAACACAAATGTTACTAATAAATATTAAATTTTAATTAGATATCAATACATATGGATGGATACTACCATATTATAATTACCTTTCTTTTCAATATAATTATCGCATAAATTTAAAATCTGCAATTTTGGATGGACGCCCAGAACTTTGGCAATACAACAAGCCCCGTCGTCCTTTATTCTGCAGTTAGATAAATCCAACTCCTCGAGTGTTGTATTAATTATTAACCCACGCATAAGGGCTTGAATATGAATATCGTCCACACAACTTTTGTGCAGTCTTAGTATTTTTAGTGTTGTTGCAAAATCAACAGCTTGTCCTAAACTTTTGCAATCCTGAACTGCCACTTTCAGCATTCTCCACGTGAATGCTTCGCCTACACCGTTTCTGCCTGTAAAAATTAATTTAATGTATTTTGGTTTTTTCGTAAAATGCATTGTGTACAAAAATTACAAAGTACAAAATTATTACCATTTAAAAAAACATATAAAATTTTAAAAAGCCTCACTACTTGTGATCAAGTTGTTCTTTTATATTTTGTATTCCGTTTTGCCTTAACACCCACAAGAAATATGGTGACCCATTTTGACCCGATACTTCATTTTTATTTTTTTGTAATCAACTTTTCCGATTTTCTGAATGGAAACACATTTTCTGATTTGTTACAGCGAGAGTCAAACTTTTTATCGCAGTTGACAAACTTTTTTTTGCCCTTTCAAAAACTTTGGATGCCTTCAAATTTTGACACCCCTGAAATTGTGACGGCCGGCCGCGGCCTAAAGGCCCCCAAAGACTTTTCATTCGAATCAATTTTTATTTATATTTTCTTAACGGTCTCGGTATTCCATAGATTTTACGCACTACAGGCAATGAAATTATCCATAGGTTTAAAAAGTCATTAAAAAGGCTTTCACATTGACTTTTGCGACTACGCTACTGTTTAAAAGCCCCCACAGACGTTAGTTCGACACGAAAACTGATGGACCGTCGTTTTACACCACAGACAGTTTTTGGCCGCGGCCTAAAGGCCCCCAAAGACTTTTCATCCGAATCAATTTTTATTTATATTTTCCCTCTTTATTGCACAAATATTAATTATCTTAATTTGTTATTAAGTATACTAAGTAGTATCAAAATTTTTATTTTTTTCATTTTAAATACTGCAAGTTAGGTGCCTGGTTGAGTGGCACGCTTGAAACAAAAACAACGGTGACGATGTATTTGGCCAGTTCTCACAATATGGATACTACACCTTAAGAACAAAAACATTTTTTGAAAGTGCATAAACGTGCTTACACACCACGGCACACCGGCACTGATGAGGTTTAATAAGACCAAAATATGCTGTATGCGGTGCCTGGTTGTTTAGCACGCTCGAAACAAAAGAAACGGTGACGATGTATTGGGCCAGTTCTTAGCAAAAATTTTATTTAATTATTGAATAAATTACTAAATTAGGGACAGCCATGCGTATGGGTAGTACCCATTGGGGTACATTGGTAGTACCCATATGGGTACCCATTGGGTACCCAGCGTTTATTTTCAGACAGTAGTTTTTCATGTCTAGACGCGCGCTTGGCCTTTTCGCGATATGTCGTGCAGATACCGGCTTAAGTGCCTACTAAGCACTGCTAAGTTTCATGTCTGATACCGCACTATACGGAGTGTTTGTGTAGATCGAGGGGTACCACTGATTTTTTTAAATTAAATAACGAACACGAATAAACGGCAAGGAAAAAATCACAAAGGTGCAACAACGTCGCTAAGAAAATTTTCTTATTGATAAGGATTTTTCCTTGTTGATAAGGATTATATAAGCGTCGATAAGGAAAAATGTTTAGAGCACAAATTCTATATATCGCTGAATATTGTCTTGCTGATTTTAAAGGTTACTTTTCTAATTTTTAAATGTGGCTTATTTTTAATAGTTTAACCTTTAAGTTCGGTTATTAGGACAAAAGAATTGGTATAATTTAGGACTAATGTAAATTGATTTTTTTATATATTTATATATTTAGGACATCTGGTTATTTAAGTTTGGTACTAGTAACGGTCCCATTAGGACGAGAACATCTACAGATATTTGGATTGTCGGTCAATATTTAAGGCCTACTGCCAATAGGCCTTAAATATTCATTCCTACCTGTTTAAATTTTAAGTTGTCGTAGCAACCCCTAAAATTATGTTTAAAAATTACAAAAAATTACAGCAATTTTTTTTAACAGAATAAATTAAAATTAGAGGGTGTCCCGAAGAAAATTATGATTTTTTTAACCTGATTTAAGGACTACCCAGCCTTATAAAGTTATTAATTAAGTTTTTAATTAATTAAATAAATATTTGGGATACTCATTTTAAAACTGGAAAGAGGTAATCTCACTGCAATTTTCTTTAATCAACACCGACAGAAAGTAATTAAAACGCTACTTACTTTCTGTAGTTAATTCAAAAGTTTCAAGTCGTTACTTATGGTTCTTTATTATATTTAGTTGGTAAAAATCTCCTCCCCAGGCGTAAATGCTGTGGCAAACCTCTTTAAGAAATCCGTAGTTATAATCGAAATAAATTAAATTTACATATACCCTAAAGCAGAACATTATAGATATATACATATATATATATATATATATATATATATATATATATATATATATATATATATATATATATATTTATAAAAGTGGAAAACGAGATCCATGTATAGATGTCTAATACGAGATCCACCATAAAATTTGGTTTTTTTCTTGAAATACCTTTAAAAACCTTAAAATTTTAATGATAACCAAATTTAATTTTACAAATATGTCTTAATATAAATGCTTTTGGAAAACCCATTGGCAAAATTAAACATGTTTATTAAGAGATCCTAAACCCTATGTATACCTCGAAAATTAGAAGGAAAGCGAGATCCGACGGTGTTGCCATATTTCGGATCTCCTTTGATCTTGATAAGAATAGTATATATAGATAATCTATTTTATGTATTACAAACTTAAAATAGAATCGGAATTAACAAGAGATACACCATTTAAAGCGCACAAAAAAGCTGTAATTTTACGAAATTATACCGTACGTTTTGAAGCAACAATTTTTGTCCCAGTAAAAATTTATTAAAATAAAAACACCAGAAATAAATATTTTTTATTAACTAAGAAACATATATAAAATAATAATAATAAAAAGTTTAAATAATCCTGTAAAAACTGATTACATAATTTAACGGAAAAATAAACTTAAGAAATATAAAATAAAAATATATGCGGAACAGATCATATTTTAAAAAACGTCTTATAACTTTTTTGATCAAATGCTCCTCAAAATCTTTTTTTCTACCCCAGCCGCTGCCCCCACAACCTAGAAACCTAATAAAAATTGCTAAAAATGGTCGATCACTCAATGTAGGTGCAACCAAGTAAGTTGTTCAAATGTACCCGAAATTTTTTTCCGCCCCCGCCGCCGCCTCTAAAAGTCAGAAACCTAATAAAAAATGCTAACAATAGGTCGAAAATAGTCGGCCACTCTACGGCTGTTCAGTGTAGGTGCGGTCAAGTGAGTTTTAATAAGTTTTAATAATAATAATAATAATAATAATATTTTTTAATTATTATATTTTTATATAAGTATTAAAAAAATAACTTTTGTAAACAAAATAACAAATATTAAATATTAATATATTTAAAAGTAAAAGTATTATACATAATTAAGTTTTACATTAATATTTTCTACCTTCAGTAAATTTGTATTCTTCATATTTTAGGGCATTTGATAAAACTTACTTGCCCGCAGTTATAACACTTAGTTACACTGAGTGAACGCCATTTTTTAGTATTTTTTATTAGGAAATAAATTATTTCGTGGTGCATTTGATACAACTTACTTGGATGCACCTACATTGTTTGGCCGCACTTGTTCAAAAAAGTTATACTAACTCTCTAAAAATGAAATAGTCAAAACTTTACTATTTGAATTAGTACCAGCATTTTTTTTCAATAAATTAGTCGGTTTACTTTTAAATAGTTATTTTTTACTACGTAAATAGTTAAAGTTTGACTAATTTAAGATTAGTCACCATCTTTGACTATTTCTGAGAGTTAAAAGTAACTAATTTCTTTAATAGTTTGCGGCCAACAACAAAGTATTATTTGAATTAAATGCATATACCTAAGCTCCATGGTTAAATGACCCATTAAACAAATAAAGATGCAAACAGTTTAGCTTAAAACAGCAACACAAATAATATATTCAACTTTAAAATATTACAATATTTATTGACAAATAAAATTGATTTTTATAAGAGCGGCTGATGGCCGAATGGGTTATGACAAAAGCTTGACAAGTGACAGACCTGGGTTCAATCCCCAGATGGGTCAAAACTTTTTTAAAATTTAAATCTACTAATTAGTGACTGCTTTTTCGCTATGACAATTAGTCAAATATGACTTAATAATTATTAGTTATTGTTGACTAATTCATTTTAAGAAAGTATGATTTTTTTAAAATATCATTATCTGTTCCGCAATTTAGGTAGTACCCAAATTTCAAATTCATATTCGTCTTAAAATTGATTCATAAACGATAAATTATCGATATATTGGTTATAAATGGATCTGATGTTGATTAATAACCAATTTCATGTAGATTTTATATCTAATAAATCATTATTAGTAACTCACATTCCCGCTCATTCTTTTAAATGTTAAGTTAATAGGTAATTTTTTGCCAATCGAACAATTTTTGACGTTCTAGAGTTAAACATTTTGATACACTACACTTTAAACTTAATGAAGCTTCTTACGAGAATTATAAAATTTAAAATCTAAAAGACTTGTATATACTTGCTTAGATTTGTATAGCATCAAACGAGATCTGTGCGCTGTTGCAATTTTTTGGATAGCGTATTCCTTAATTTCGAAAATACAGGTTATATACAAAAACGATTGCAGCGCCTCTATGTTAATAACGACGAACTATTTTTACATACAAAATAGGTAAAAATACGGAAAGTCAGATCCGGCGGTTTTTGGTACTAAGCTCATGAGCGTACCCTAAATACTTAAAATAATTGACCCGTTCGTTGCGAGATCCGGCCTTTGGATCTCAGGATCTCATATTCCGCAAGTTTAACCATATACGGATCTCGTATTCCGCGGTCAGACATCTATATATATATATATATATATATATATATATATATATATATATATATATATATATATATATATAGATAAGTGGTCAGCTGTGACCCACACGGAACAATTACATCCAATGGATATCCAATGGATTTCTTTTATGGATATCCAGGATATACATAGGATATCCGGGATATCCAATGGATAACCATTGGATATATAAATGTCCGACCCTCCTGGACACAGTGTGGATATCCAATGG